CTGGTCTTGTCACTGTTCCTTGAAAACAAGCCTGCCTCGGGGTCTTAATATTGGCTGTTCTCTCTGTTTGAGATGCCTTTCCTCCAAACAGCACCGTGGTTCACTCCCTTGTGTCCTTCAGATGTTTACCCTACCAATAACAGCTGCTCTACAAGAAAGCCTTGCAGCCTACTCCTCCCAACATAAAAACATATCAAATTCCATAAATTTCATGTGATCCCAAAGAAAATACCAACAGGGTCTTGTTTTGAACAAGGCAGGCTGATTCTAGATTAAAATAAAGAATAAATCAGAATCCCTAAGAACGCTCTAAAAAAGAACATCAGTGAAGAAGTACTGACCCTAGCAGAGATCAAAACCTCAGTAATTGAATCAATGCAGAACAGATCCACAAAGAGGCAAACCAATGAAGAAATGCAGGAAGTCAACAAGTAGACCCAAATACAAACAGGAATTTAATATATGATCAATAATTATCTAAACCAGTGGGGCTAACATATATAAAATTTTTAATAAATGTTAGGACAATTGATATATGAGGGGGTACCCAAAAAAACCCAGAATTTATTTATTTCACAAAACAACCTTATCACCTTCAAAGTACTCTCCATTACACGTAATACATTTGTCAAATCTGCGATTCCATTCTTGGAAACATTTTTCAAAGGCATCCGTTTGGATGGCTGACAACACCTCCCCTCTTATTTTCCCCACGTCTTCTACTTCATCAAATTGTTCACTTTTCCTGCCCCTCTTCATTCTCAGAAACAAAAAGTCGCACAGAGCTAGGTCAGATGTGTGGGATAACTGAGGCATGCTGTTTTTTGCCAAAATCTGGAGCACTGAGATGGCTACATGAGCAGGTGCATTGTCATGGAGGCAAAAACAGTCCCCGGACTGCCACAAATCAGGCCTTTTTTGTCACACACTGTTACACAATCTTTTCAGAACCTCTAAATAGAAAGCTTGATTAACAGTCTGACCTGGTGGAACGAACTCCAAATGCACTGTCCCCCTCACATCAAAAAAACAAATGAGCATCAGGTTTTTTGGGGGGTACCCCCTCATAGTCCCCGAGAGTGGGCAGGGGGAATAAAAGGTAAAATCACATCAAGATAAACACCAAATGGATCAAGGCTTAAATATGAAAAAGAAACCAAAGAAGTACAAGAACACTAAATATTTGCAGCATATAAAAACATTTTCACATTCCACTAGAGTGCCCTATTTATAACAATGAGTTGGTTCTGCATTATGGCAACCCCACTTAAGTTGGGGAGAATTGTGCTCTATAGGGTTCTCCGTGATTTTTCTAATGAAACCACCAGGCTCTGGGTGGAACTGAACCTTTCAGTTAGCCTCTGAGTGTGTTAACCCATCACCACTCAGGGAGCCAGTGGTACAATGTTGGCACGCAGCTGCTAATCACCAGGTCAGAGATAGAACCTGCCAGCCACTCTGCAGGAGAAAGATGAGCCATCTGCTTCTAAAGATTACAGCCTGGGAAACCCCGTGACACAGTTCTACTCTGTCCTCTACCACTGTCCCTGAGTCAGATCAGCTCACTGGCAAGAGCGTCTGACTATGTGGTTTGCTAGTTTAGGGACTCCGCAGCATAATCTACAGTAAAAGTTATCATACTATGAACCTTCTCTATCAGATCCCTTGTGCTTTAATTTTTATATGAGGATAAGTCAGGGGCATTGCTAAAATAAATAAGTAGAAGCCTTTATTGAGCAAAAGAAGCTTTTATTTCTCCACATATCCTTTATCTGGACTGCACCCTGCTGACAGTGTCATTTCCATTGCTCCAGCCTTTCCCCCGAGGGATTCTGTGCTCTTTGATTGACACGGCATCAAAAGTGGCAGCTTCGGCAGCTGCAAACTTTGTTCCTTTTAAATGTTCCTTGAGTTTTGAGAACCAAGAGAAATCCGAAGGGGCAAAATCAAAGCTGGAGGGTGGATGAGGTAAGATTTCCCAACCAATTCTCACAGGACAGCCTTTGCTACCCTCAAAGAATGAGCTAATGGCCGTCATATGAAGGGGCGGATTCCTTGGCAAAACTTTCCTGGCCTTTTCTCACCAAGGCAATATTTAATTTTCTTAAAATGTCGTAATAAGACCCAATGGTTGGCCTGTGTCCTTCACGGAAAACTATCAAGAAAACTATCAATATTTGGAGACAAATATTAGACCACTATTATAGAGAGGGGAAAATAAGTTATAAAGACTTTGATAGCAAAAAGACTAGAATTTGGAGTTTGCCAAGGAGGACGGGACAGAGCAGGTAGACGAAGCAATGGGCTGGCCTGTTGCCAGGTGCTAACTGGAAAGAAATGGAAGACGGTGTTCCAAGAGAGAGAAGAGGATTCAGAAAGTGAGGGAGGGGGTTAACGAGTTTGACGAGTGGTCTTAGCTGTTGAATACAAAGTTAATCACTCTGAAATGTAAACCTCTACCCCATTTACAATAAAAAAAATTACCCCTTTGGAATCCCAAAAATCAGTTACCAGAACTTTCTAAGCTGACCTCTCGTGCCTTGAATGAAACTGGTCCAATAGATCCCCTCAGAAGGCCATGTGCTTTTGGAAGGCACAATAATGAGACTAAGAACCATACCATCAAGCGAATTAGTCTGAAGCCCCCCCTACCCCCACCGCAACTGACCACAGACACGGTTAAGTAGCTGTGTTTGGAATACGCCCACGCATGGATACACTTGGGTATTACTTACCCTTGTAGTATTCTGTACAGAAACATCGTACTTCTACAAGCTTGCCGCCTCCTTAAATGAAGGACTGACACTGTGGGTATCATCAAGGCCACACAGTGCTAGGCCCAAAACACACCCTAAAAATCTGTGGTAGTTTTGAGAAGATTAAGAGCAAAGGGGTGGAGTCTAGCCTGTCAATCAGGTCACAGCCAATGAGGTCTCTGTGTGGGCATGGGCTTCTTTTTTTT